CTACTACAAGAAGACCACCAACGTGAGAAGTCTGCGACACACCAGAACAGAACAGAATAGTCCAGACTACAACAAGCCGAGCCAAGTCAAGAAAAGACTAGAGCATTCCGAACCAGGACAGTCTAGATGAGACAAGAACAGATCAGAACAATCCAAACCTGAACAGTTTTGCCACAGCAGACTGATCCAGAGCCAGAACGGAAACAATCCAGCACAGACCGGACAGGACAGTCCTTCCTGGGACAATCCAGATGAAACAAGAGTAGACTAGATCAGTCCAAACTGGAGTAGTCCAGACCAGAACTTAATAGAACAAAACACACAAACAGTTCAAACCTGATCAGGTCAGTCAAATCCAGTGCAGACCAGACCAGAACAATGCAAACTTGAACAGTCCAGACAAAACCACTGAGGACCAGAACCCTCCAGATCAGATAGAACTGCTCCAAAACAGCCAAGAAGAGACCTGTAGAGTCCAACTAAAACCAGTCCAGACTAGACCACGACCACCAAAACTAATCCAATTGTGTTTTTGTTGTCCAGGGTCCTTTGCCTGTCAAGTGGATGGCGCCCGAAGCTTTGTTCGACCGCATCTACACGCACCAAAGTGACGTGTGAGTTCAACATTAGCAAGCATGCAAAGCAGCGAGCATTTCGAAGCTTGGGAGACATGAAGTGGACTGGATGGCGTCCGACTGGGCTTTTCTTGTGGCTCAGGTGGTCTTTCGGCGTCCTGATGTGGGAAATCTTCACGCTGGGAGCGTCTCCGTATCCTGGCGTCCCAGTGGAGGATCTCTTCAAACTTCTGAAAGAAGGCCACCGGATGGACAAGCCAAATGGCTGCACACTACTACTGTGAGTAGCCGCCAGCAAAGGCACGCACCTGCTATTTACATGAGATCTTGTCAGTTGTGCCTGTGAGGGGGTTTCAGTTGAATCTGAGCGTGCTTAGCTAGGTTCAGTTGCCTATGTTGAATTTCTGAATACATCCATGAAGGCCTCTCTCTTCCACACTCACATAGTTGCGCTCTATTGTATATTAAAGCGAGGCTAAAAGCACTTTTTGTGGTCTGTCAGCTATGAGATGATGCAAGACTGCTGGCACGCAGTCCCCTCCCGCCGGCCCACCTTCCCGACCCTCGTCCAGCGATT